CACACTGGGGGTGGGTTGCTACTATCATCTTACGGGCAAACACCAAGAATGCTAAACATCCAATAGCATGCAGGATAGCCCCCTTCCCCGCCGCAGACAATTACCCAGTCCACATGTCAGAACAAGGTACCCCCCCGCTCCCCGGCAAAACCCACAAAGCCACCGGATCAAGAACACTTTAACCAGACACTTAGGAGCTCCTCAAAGTTGAGTAGATTATACTACTTTTCTTTCTTTCTCCTTGCCAGTCCTGACAGATTAAAAGACAAAGGTCAACTAAAAAATAAAATTTGACCACTTCACACCAAATGAGAAATGGTGACTCCTCAACAGCAACTACATCAAGACCAGATACTCACCAACAGTTTCCCAAGTCATGCTGTTAACAATCCTGTGAAGAAGGGGTTGATGGCATTTTTCAAACTGTGGACTGCAACCCATTAGGGTATTTTAAAATCAGTTTACTGCACCACAATGCACATTTTTTAAAGAAAATGTAATGGGAAATATTAGAAAATTTAGGAGTAAAGACAGTTTCATGAAACACTGTTTGCCATTAGGCTGTAGTCAAAAAGCCAGGAAGCCAGGAGCCTAGTCTAGGTGCTGCTGTAAAGACGAGCAGATGAGGAAAAGGGAGCTCTGGGAGGGTGACAACTTGTCTGTCGTCACCAGCCTTCTCGTTTGTTGCAAAGTCAGTGGCTGGGCCAATACCAGGTGCTCAGCCTGGGTGTTTCGTTAGATCAAAACATGGAAGAGGTGCTCACAGGCACATGCACAGGTTTCATTCTTCTCTTCCTGTGCGGCCAGCCAGGAGGTAGTGCCCTGAAGACCAGAGGAAAGAGAGAGACATCATGTCTCCACTTTCCACTCCAATCTAACTCAGGAGGCCTTAGTCTTCTCCAGGTACCCTCAGAGGGTGAACTGGTAATGGACTCTTCCTGAAAATTAATTGTCTTGCCCAACCTACCAGCTGAAATATCAGAGCAGAGCAAGCTCGGCAGCATGGGGACCTTTCTGACTAATGTCCACCACTCCCATCGGAGACAGTAGCTGTTTCTGATTTTCTAAAACTTTACTTGAGTTGTATCCCCAATTTTGAAGTGCTCAACTGTAGTCTGTAGAAATAAAGCTGCTTCAAGGTCAGTCGTGGGCTCTGGGGCAGAAGGGTCACAGTGTCGCCTTCCATGGGTCTTTGCTGCGCTACCACGCAGCTATTTTTACAGCTTAAGAGACCTGCTATAGAGGGCAGAAATTTCATTACTTAAAACAGGATCTTAGAAAATACTTTTTAAGAATCGGTTATCCAATGTATTTTTAAACTTTTATGGCCTTTTATTTGAGCCAATATGCTCAAAAACTGAGGACAAACATTTCTATAAACTAAGTTTTCCATCTTGGTTAAAGTAGTCGGCATGTGGGTTAGTGGTGCCTTTGACTCAGGATGAGAAAGACGACTGACTCCCACAGTTAGTGTTCCTTTCCAGGCTTAGGAAGGCAACACCCCCCACCAGGGCCCACTTTTCAGGTGGCGGCAATGGGAGTGGCAGGCAAGGCCAGAGATGGATGGCCCAGCTTCTTCTCCATTTGTCCTTGCGCATGTTTCCTTTGAGATCCTGAACACGCGGCACCCCTTCCCCAGAGCAGACCTGGGGCTTCGCACTCAGGATGCCAGCACATGGAGGACACGGGACGCGTACGCTGCCACTTCGGCGTCAGGGGAAAAAAGCTGTCAAGCAACATCAGACTGGGGTGCCACACTCAGAAACCCTGACCAGCAGACCAGGCATTCTGTGAACACAACCAAAACACAGAAACAACACAAGTAACACAAATACTGAGTTACATAAAGAGAATTATTAACAATATACTTCCCAGTGGAACTAACTGTACCTTGTCCACCCACACAAAGAGAAGGAAAGAGGGAAGAGGTAAAGGGTATGATGGATAAGAAGCTAAAAGCAGTGCTGAAGAGAGGGCCCCGATTTGTGCTGGGACACGCTCCTGACACGGCTGAGACGCTGGTGTGATCCACGGAGTCTCCTGCTCTGCCAGCAAGAGTTCCGCAGCAAACTGGCCAATCAGGGAATGAGCAGCAAAGCTCCTGCTTAAACGATTTATGTGAAATAACAGGCTCACCTTCTCAAAGAGTGACTTTACATGCGTATATGTGCTCTCAGGGAAAAAATGCCAGTCTAAAGAACAGTGAGAGGAGCCCTTCTATATACCTCTTGGAAATACAGGGAATACCCCTTCACTCCAAGTTATGAGCACTCCCTGCTCTATGCTGAAGTTTCTCTGCGCAGACATCTAATTTAACACTGAGGTCTGTGGGCCTGGGGCAGCACCCTGAACACAGAGCATCAGAGCTCTAACTCACACTGCTCCTAGCCAGGAAATACCACTAGAGCATTTCCCACAGGGATATTCCATATGCAACTGCCACACTCCAGGATCTCTAGCCAGCTATCAAATGCTTGCTATCTATTACGTATTTAAAAGCCCTGCCTTGAGTGGCACAGCTCAGTTGCTTGGGCACTGCCCTGCCAAGTGAAAGGTCGCTAGTTTGATTCCCGCTTAGGGTACGTGCCTGGGTTGCAGGTTAGGTCCCTGTTTGGGGCGTGTATGAGAGGCAACCAATTGACATTTCTCTTTATGTCAATGTTTTTCTCCCTCTCTTTCTCCTCTCCTTCCCCTCTCCAAAAAATAAATAAAAATCTAAAAACTAGTAATAAAAATAAATAAATAAAAGCCCTGAAAATGACTGAAAGAGACTATCCTTATTTGTTTAGGTCAAGGAGAAGCACCAAAAATGAAGCCAGAACCCTCAAGACTTATCCACCAACAAAATAATTTTTTCTTCCATGAAATGTTCTAGCACATAAAATAAAGGCAGATAGCTATTCAACTAAATTCCTGCTAACTGGAGTCACAATAAATCACATTTAACTAATAAAGTTTCTAGAAAATACCCTGGTTGGCCAAAATCCTGTTGATTTTCTGGTTCTGAGTGACATTTCAGGGACGCGTCAGTGAGATAAGCTGTCAGTATAACTAACTATAAGCCAGTACAAGAGAACTGGGGAAGGAGGCACACTGTTAGAATAAAATCCCAAGGGGGCACACAGGCCCTCCTTGGTCTGGCCCCTGCTAAGGGTGTTGTGTATGTTTGAAAACACTTTGAGAAGGAACAACAAAAACAAAAAGAATTATCTTGAATTTCACATAATCATCATGTCTCAAGTTTCAGGGTCCATAAACAGTTTTACTGAAACACAGACACGTCTGTTTGCTCACGTGCTGTCTCGACGGCAGCTTTCACACTGTAACAGCACAGGTGAATAGCTGGGACAGAAACTGAACAGCCTGAAATATTAACTATCTGTTCCTTTACAGAAAATGTTACCTTACCGCCCCCCCGCCCCCCGCCCCAAGCACACGACATGCTCACACGTTTGCACTTGCTGTTGCCTCAAAGGTTTAATTTAAGAGGCTATATATAACAACTAGGCTTAGCTGTAAGTTAAGAACGCAATGTGTTTTATGCCAAAAGGAAGGGGAGCAAATAGTGTCTACCACCTCGTGGCTTCCGGGCACAGAGTGACAGGTGCCCGGGCCTGCTCTGATCCTGCCCCCGTCTTCTGTCCATTGCCTGCGACAGGGGCCTGGCATTTCAGTGGTGTTCAGCTCTGGTTAAAATTTAACCTCATGCCTATAAATAGAAACATCTTTAAACACCAATTAAAAATAACAGGCTGGCATTTGGGAACACCTAAAAACAAAAATATAACAACTGAAATAAACAGCAATAGTTGCACATCTGCTCAGGTGGGTAAAAAGTTACGTGTGTCTTCTCTGAAGCTTTTCAGTTAACTCCTGAATTTATGCAGCTTTAAAATGTAAAACAATGTCCATCTTACCTTTTCATCTAACAATAAGCTGGCTTTTCTCCATTTACTCCATTTTAATGATTGTGAAATTAACTTTAATAGTATTTTATTTAACCCAACATATCTGAAATATCATTTTGACAGTTTCATCAGTAAGGAAAGATTATTAGTGCGATATTTCAGTTTTATACTACATCTTCTGTATCCACTGTGCATTTCATACTCACGGCACAGCACCATCTCAATTCAAAACAGCCGCAGGTCAAGTGCTCAGCAGCCACTCGTGCCCAACTGGTACAGCATCAGACGGTGCCGCTTTTAAACGTTCAGTTACTTTCAAATGAACACAAACCGAACTTACTTGCGTTTTAGGAGTTTTATACAAAAGATCTTTTCTATTTTTGACTGTGTGCTTGTTTTTTACTTAAGGCGACTAAATACAATAAATATCTATTATTATTTTTCATGTATATTTTACTTTTTAAAAATTTACTGTTATTCAGTTACAGTTGCCCTCCCTACTCCCACAGTCACCCTCCTCCACACTCATCTTAGGGTTCCCACTGCATTCTTTACAATAAGCTAGAAAATATTAAGAACCACATCCTATTGCTTTCCCACAAGCATCCAATTGTGCTTTTCCAACTACGGCTGTTAGGCTTAGTTTTCATTTCCGTCACACATGGCTCCTTTCCCGTATGAACTGAATGCAACCAAGAAGCTCTGACACGTCTGAGCCACGTTTCCTTAATGTGCAGCAGGACGGCGCCCCCGTCCTGCACATGATGACCTGCCCGAGTTCACAATTCAAAAGCACACCACCCTGCCTGTTCTTCCCTTTAGGAAACTTATGTCCATCTTTATGATTTAAAAAGTAAGAGGGAAAAACTTAGAATCTCAAACTACCCCAGTAATAAGCAGGTTCTGGGGCTCTTGCTGGTGGGGTACAACCAGGGGAGCAGCTTCCACTTGGCTGGAAGGACTGCTCTTCACTCACAGCACAGGGCTCTGCTAATGGAAAGAGCATTCCCACAGTTTGGGACCCTATGGGACCACCATTCTTCACAACAGAAAGGGCCTCACTGTTTAACCTCCGAGGGCTTTCCTGGTTACCTCTGCATCCTGCTGGGAGAGGTGGTATGTCCTTTCGAGGCTCTGCAGAGTTCTGGGGTTCAAGGCCTTCTGCTCCAAGAGATGCTCCAGAAGCAAGACCAGCTGGTCTGGAAGAAGCTGAGGGCAAAACCAAACAGCCAGTGAAAATGCCATTCGGCTTACAAGAAATCAAACCCAACCGTGTGGCTTGACTGAGCAAACACAGCAAATCCAGGGTGACCTGCGCACTTCAACAGATGTCTGAAACACAGAGTGACTATGCCATTTAACCTACACAAAGATTCAAGAAATCATATGATCTCAGGCATGGAAATTAAGCAGAACTAAGCCATTTTCAGGTTTCCTTCCTTACCACTTGAACTTACAAACGTACACCAAGAAATAAAGAACATGAAACAAGAACAATGTCTCACAGACCCTCCCTTTTAAAAATTTTAAGTTTATATGTAACTAAAAATTAAACAATGCTATAACCATGATTACATACACAGAGTCACCCATGTTCCTAAGTTTTCATACAGGATAGGTTTAAAAAAGGGCGGCAAAGGGAAGAGGGTGTTTTTATATGGTACAAAAAGAATGTACATTTTAGGAACAAATATTTTTAAAATCAAAAACTTAAAACATCTGTCTTATTCATTATTGTACCACAGTGCCTAGTTCAGTCCCTAGGACAAATAGTGCTCACAAACTATAAAAGAAGGAAAACATACATTTATGATATAGCTTGTAGGAACTGAAAAATATTTATTCTAAAATAAAGGCTTTAAATTATTACTATGAATTCTACTACTCTCTATAGTTAGCTTTTCTCCATTACTACTTGTGCCCTGAAAATCCCTGTCAAGAACCCAAATTTACAGGTCTGCAAGTCAATACTAGGCCAACAGAACATTCATAAGAACACCTAGATTTTAATCCCTACTGTTATTCTCAAAGAAATTTTATAAATTATTGAGTTCTCTCCCTACCTCTCTTTACCTTTCTACCCCCACGTGTGCACTCTGCCTGCCCCAACCCGCACACACTTTTCCCAGAATGCACATGGGGGGAAGCCGGGTGAACAGCAGGCACAACATTCACCACCTCATTCCACAGAGAGAGCAGTTCTTGTATGTCCTCACCTCACCTTTCTAAGTTCTCACATAACTCCACTTCCTACAGAGACACATCCCTTCATTCTTAAGACATTTTTTATTTCACAGCATCCCTCCATGCATCTAAGAGTCCTGTCAGTCTTCTCAGGCTGACAGGAGAAACGAGTGCCTTCAGCCACAACAGAGGGTCACAACCAACACTGACCCAAGCAGCTCTCCATGGGGACTTACAGAACAACTAACACAATTTCCTTTCATAGAAGTCATGTGCCTGAAAGATGCTTTAAAGATAATTACTACATATCAACTAGAAACAAAACTGAGTTTTCCATTTTCTACAAGTTTAGACAAAAACTCTCAGGGATCCTTTGTTCTGCTTCTGTGTACAAATACATGAGCTTTCTGCTTGAAACGCTGCGAGACATGTTGCGTATGATCCAGATACTTTGCTAGGATCTGTAGGCTAACAGAAAAGTAGGCTTTGTAAGAGCCTACTTTTACAATTTTGAGATATCTATTTTATGAAACAGGACAAATCCAGGGTCATCAGCCTCCAGAGACCTCCTTACCTAGTCACACCATGAGCGCTTTGCTGTGGGTACTCAGGGTGCTCCACCGCAGGCTCAGCCGTTGGGCCAGGCCAGCACCCAGGCTCCTGGCCCTCCTGCCCGTCCATTGCTGCCCTGCAGCCTCCCCCTCTCTGGACCTTTCTTCCCTTGGTGCCCAGAGGGGTCCTTCGCTGATAGAGCTTAAGCCTTCAGCCTGCCCTGAGCGCCTCCCTCAGTCCCCTAAGTCACTCCCTGACTGTCCTCCAGACCCTTAACAGAGCCTGCCCTTTCTCCCCCATTAGGGTCTCTTCCGACCCAACCCATTCCCTTTCCAAGTATGTTCCACATGGCCCCTGCCCCGAGGTGCTCTCGCCTGGGCACCCATGGAACAGCAGCTCACCTGCCTCTACAGGGCATGGTGAGGGATCCAGCCCTGCACCCCTACTGTAGCAGCAGCCAGGCTCTGGGCAGCATCTCAAATGCTGAGGCCACAGTGGGTGCGGGAAGACAGCTTCTGGGAAAGGGCCAGCCTGACACAGGGCAGAACACGCATCGGCTGGGTGGAGGCCTGATTCACTAACTAAACACAGCAGGAACCAATGTTGGGTAATTTGCAGAATTACAGGGAAGGGCAGAACAGAAAGAAAAGCATCTCCCTATTATGTGCCCACACTTACAAAGAGGCCTATTGTTAGAACTCGCATTTGGGATTTGGTTTAAACTGGAGAGACCCACAGAAAAAAGAAACCCCTGAGGAAGAAAACTAGCTTGGTTCTCAACTTATCCTAACTGGGTTTAACCAATAAATGCAACTCCAGTTTAAAATTAAAGAATTACTAATATGTAAACCTATTAAAATATATGGATCATACGCAACATGTCTCGCAGCGTTTCAAGCAGAAAGCTCATGTATCTGTACACAGAAGCAGAACAAAGGATCCCTGAGAGTTTTTGTCCTAATTTTACACAATGGAAAAATACTTGAAGCTAAGCCCCCTGACTAAAGATAAACAGCTGAGATGGAATGGAGGGAGTCGAACCTTTGTGGTTTTTTAATAAGTTTAATTTACTCTAATTGGAGTGAGGTGAGGAGCAGGCGCACACAGCCTGCCAGGTAGCCCTCCCTCCTGGGCACAGAGGCGCCCGGACTGCTCTGGGCAAGAGCTGGCCTGTTCCTTCGGGGAGGAAGCCCAGAACCCCTGGCCTGCGCAGCTGTGTGAACAGCCCTCCCTCCTGAGCCCACTGAGCGCTTAGTGCTGTCAGTCTGGCCCACTCTCCCCAATGGGCCTGTGCAAGTGACTCACTCAGGTAGCAAACTGCAGACCTCTGCCTTTCAACTCTAACTCTTCGAATTCGCCAGGGAAGAATGCACTTTCTAAACAACACGTCAAGCAAATCAGTGATCCAGTTCTATTTTAGTACATACAATAAAACGCGTTCAGTATCTTTCATTCACAAATGAGTAAGTAAACATTACATAATTTTTACATGAGATTATAGACCTTGAAAAGATAGTAAAGCCAAAATGTGGTTAAGTAGCTCGATTTTATACAGCACATTTCTCTTTGTAAAGTAAACATTTACCCCCTGTAAGCTACCCTACAATGAAAAAGACATACTATGTAATAAACCAAAAGTTTGCAAAGCAAGTGAGAGAGATACACTCCAAATGTGCTTGGATGCAGCTCTGGGCAGCTGGCATAGCGGCCATGGGAGATGTTGTGTGGGTCATTCCACTCCCTCCCTCACAGAAATCAAATTAAATTTCACGTGACTCAAAGGCCAACTGTGTTTTAATACAGCAGTACTGAGAGACAAACATGGCTTTAGTCATACTATGGAGGATTAAGAAAAATACAGTACATGTTTCGGAGCATTATCTCATCAGAAAGCAGCTCCTTCAAATATTATAAAAAGAACCTGCCTCTATTTCTGAGGGTTTAAAAGTGCTCACAGCCATAGTTTGACATTGACAGGAAGAGAAAGTCCTTTTCTTTGCACAAATAATGAATTCACGACAGAGTTGTTTTTTTTTTTTTTTTTTTCCCCCATATGGAAACCAGGTTGGTATTTTTAAAACGCATCTGCCCCAAAACTTGGACAAAATAAGGCTGTGGGGAGGCAAAATCATGTGGGTACTGCACACAGAGAACTTCACAACACTGTAAAGCTTAAATACAAAAACAAAATGCTAAAGTAGGTCAGAAAATACAAACAATATTTGTTAAAAATCCGGAGGTCTGTATTCTTGGTCTAACCACAGAGGATACATACCATAGGTGCTAACCACCCAGAAATTAACAACGAAAAAGAAAAGTCTACCTCTTTCTCCCCACTCCCCCCCGTCCGTCAATTTAAGAGCTGAAGCAAGTCACATAACTTTGAATGGTTTTTAAAGTTTCTACGCAGACTCTAGGAAAGACAATACATATTTTCCAAACCCACCCTCCCAGTCTACAGGCAGCACAAAGAAAACAAATCCTAACTCTTCCAGCAGCCTCGTACTGCTGTTGGCGGTGGACATCACTCACTCCCGGTTCCCAGAAGGACCACCCATGCAACTCAGGCCCTTCACCATTTCTTCCATTAGCAGGGCCAGAAAAGGCCAGCTCACCTCCTATAGAAAATGTCACAAACGAGTCTCCCTACTGACCTTGCATAGGCAGGCCCCAACACAAGGAACTCGGGGCACATGAACGTCCGAGCCCCACTTCTGCCCCCCTCCAAAAGCAAAGGAGGGCACTCCCTCAAGGTCCAGCTGGTACGATGCAGCCATGAAGGAAGTCTCTGAGAGGCTCCCAGAAGGGGAAGGAGCCTGAGACTAATGCAGCCTCCAACTGACAGTGGCGTGAGTTCTATTATTACCCCATTATCACTCTGGGATCTGTGCCTAAATGAAGCTGCTTCCTCCCTGATGCCATTTCCTTTTATCCTGGCTGGAGACTGAGAGGATCAATGGGGGCAATACACATGATGTCACTTCAATTTACAGCAACAGCCTCCCTCTCTTTCAGTCTGTCTGAACTACACAGAAAGATCAATTCTTCCCAAAAATGGTTTAAAAATGCTTTGGGAGCATTCTTCTTCCAGAAAAGCATTCTCTGCTATATTTGTCTATGTTTCTATGACAGGAACTGTTTACACTGAACAAAAACAGAAGGAATGAGGGAGGGAGAAAAATCCCAAATTCTCCTGTATGCTGGAGACTCGCTGGCTGAAATTCAGCACAAGCAGGGCCCAACTGGACTTGAAGCAGCTGACCTTTGAAAGTCACAAGCGGAAGACTTTCTGGCATAGGGACACCATAAAGACAGCAGTTTTCCTTTGCCCCTTGGATTAAAAAGGTAATCCCATACATATAAAATGTCTTTTTTATAAGACTCCCCCCAAACTGACAAACTCCTTCTGACTTCTCCCAGGAAACACAGCGAACCACACTCTATACCCTCAGGAGCCTCCACAGTCCACAGGA